GGCGGCGGAGGCGGGGTCGTGTCTCGAGAAGCGCGAGAGCGAGCGCGAGTCGCTGGCGGAGGTGGCGGCGTCGGCGGCGCCGGCCAGCCCGGCGTCGCCCGCGCGCCGCCGCCGCGCTGCGCCGCCGGCCGGCGCCGCCGCGCTCTTTCGCTTGCGTCCCTCGCCCCCTGCGACGCGCCTCGGCCGACGGCCCCCGCCCGCGCCCCCGCCCCCGCCACGGGCGAGCAACCCGCGTCCACGTGCGCGCCACCCACGACTCCCCACGCCGCGCTGCACCCACACACACACGACACACAGCAGATCTTTTGGCAAGTCTCAAGTAATGCGCATGGCTTCGAGAGTTCTTAAGAGTGGAGCAGTGTACAGGCGGATGTGCAGCGAAGTGTAGTGGCATTGGTTCACGACACGTAAAGGCAATATACAGCCGCGGGCAAGAAGCGATGGCAAGAACTTGCCTTTTCATAAATAATACTCTTTAGAGAAAAATGCAGTGACGGAAGTGAAGTGAAAGAGGCGTACAGAGTAGGCGTCGGCACTTTTAATCTATTTTTGTTTGTTTCTTTAATTAATATTTTTTTAAACATTTGGAATAAGGTGTATTGTATTTTGGTGTTTGTCTTTTATTTTTGTTTGTTTATTTGTATTTTTATCTGTTTTTCCACTATATCTATTATTTCTTTTAATTTTTGTGTAACTTTTTTCTTTTTGAACTTTGTGGATTAACACAATTTAAATGGGCTATTAAGTTACGAGTTTAGTTGATAGATAAGATGACGATCAGAAAATGGTGAACAGTAAATTTTCCGAATCGGTTTTTCTTCCTCAAGACATTTTTCAGAATGGTTCTTGGGGAAAGTATGCTTCGCATTCGAGAATTTTTTTCAGTACACATCATTTCGAAAATTATGAATTCTTATTCTTTTATTTTCGAATCAAGTTTCTTACGGTTAGTACAGCATTCATTATCCTGAATTCCTATTAATTCGTGATAGTCCATTTGAGACATAATTTCCTGTTTGATAAATGAACAAATGCTATCTCCATTTTGTGGTAATACTGTCCAAAATTTCTTCTGAGTTTGTATAACCGTCCTCTGTTTCAGGTCATTTTTGTCACAGAGCATATGGTTTACAGAATGGAGTGTTTCTCTTCGGCCGTACACGAGATCTTTTCCGCTACTTGGCTGTCGGGAGACGCCGTGCTCCTAGGCACGGGTGCCAAACGTAATAGCTGTTATTGTGCACCTTCCTAGGGCAAAATGCCTTCGAAGTTGAGCACCAAGGATTCGAAACCGCCTTGGCATTGGGACGCCAAGTAGCTCTTGACCCGGTCGCTGAAAGGCCTACGCTCACTCGCTCTTCTCGCTCTCTCTCTCCTCTCCTCTTTCTCCTCATCTCTCTCTCTTCTCGCTTCTCTCTCGCGCTTCTCGCTCTCGCTCTCTCTCTCGCTCTCTCTCTGCTCTCTCTTCGCTCTCGCTCTCTCCTCTCTGTCTCGCTCTCGGCTCTCTTTCTCGCTCTCTCTCTTTGCTCTCCTCTCTCTCTGCCATTTCGTCTGTCGTCCGGCTGACCTGCGCCGGTCTTCGAAGAAGGAGACGGCAGAGGAGGCGCGATCGACGCTGGCGGGCGGGTCGGCGTGCGCGGCGCGGCGGCGGGGCAGCGGGCGGCGGGGGCGAGGACGGGGCGGAGGACGGGGCGGCGTCGCGTGGGCCAGCGCTCGCGCGCCGCCTCCAGCAGCCGCGCCGCGCGACAGCGGCTCGCCCGGCCGTAGGTGAACTGGAGCGGCGAGGAGGCGCGCAGCGGCCGCGGGCGGGCAGCGGCGTCCTCCTCGCGACTGCCCACAGCGCGCCGCCCGCCTCCTCGCCACGCCTTACACTACCGTCGCCAACGGGCGTTGCGAAGCGAAACGGCAGTTTGAAGCTAAACGCCAGTTTGGACTACGGTTCGGCGAAGTAGAGAGTTTTTGCACTTCACGAAGCGCGGCTGACGTTGGCGGTGATAATTAACCGTTAACGTCGAAGTCTTATGTAAGCTCAAAAGAAGAGTTTCGCATACACCCTCCTAAAGGCATACGTAATATTTTGCAGAAAACGCAGTCGACGCGCGCTACTTAAGTTGCACTAAGACACCAATAGTATGTATATATATATAAATATATTATATATATTATTATATATATATTATATATATATATACTGGAATAATGGGCCCAGTGCGAATATTCTGGCCAGAGAAGCGTTTTTTTCTCTGTAACTCCTAACAAGTTGGGAGTTCCACATGCCCAGAGACTAAAAGGTGGTTCATAATCGTATCCGATACAGTGCTTCAACGCTTGTAAGAAAACTCTCTTAATGAGAACACCGAATGTTTACAACACTCTGACATTGTATTCAAACGTTAGGATGAACTATTAAGGACCTAGGCTTCTTAGAAGAAGATTTGGAAACTGATTAAGGGATACACGAGATTATTTTAACTGTGAAATTTCTCTAGAGCTAATGTGTTTTGAAGTTAGTTCTTTTTCAAATAAGTTTCATAATTAGGAGCATTGTTTCTTCCTAATAACGTAGGTAGTGCAAAGATATTAGGTGTCCGTTCTTTTGGTGTCAAAATATAATAAAGAGAATTCAGTAGTTAATAAAAAGAGCTTTATCAGGAACATGTAAATCGAATTCAAGTATGAATATTGGTTTGGGTAACTCTACTTTTTAGAAATGCTACTCATATTCCATTTTTAAGTTAATTAAATGTATTATCTACCCGGTGATGCTTCAGATTTCATAGTAGAGGAACTATTGAAATACTTCTCAAAAAAGTACATTTATATGTGCAATGAAAACGGGCCAAGTAGATCCACATTCTTAGAAAGAAGAATGTGTGTTTTAAAAATGAGTGAATATTGTTGAGGGCACGGTTGGAAAATAGGTTTCAGGTTCTGAAGACCTAACTCCGAAGGGTTCTGGTGTTGGTCATCCCGTCGATTTAGTTCTTCTATTTTATTTGAACCAGTTCCGTTTATGTTGGCATTCTTCATGAATGTTTGGTGTAACAAATAATATATCGAATTTGTTGTTTTATTATTACAATATTTTTTCTTGATCTATTAGCATTTTTCTAGCATTTTCTTTTATTTTAACCAGAAATAAAAATTGTTGTAACCAGACTGTTTGCTTTGTTTTTACCGCGAGAGATGTCTTTGTGGACTAATCACGCTGGTAGTCTTACTGATAGCCGTAAGCTTGGTTAGCTTTTAACATTTGCTTTTACACACTTTTCGTCTTAATTCTAATTAGATTTATTCTTGGCACTTGAGAACTGTTGTAGGAAAATCATATTTTCAGATAAATCTTACTTTTGAAGGACATAGATTGTAAATATAATGCTTTGAATCAAAGCTCTATTATTTTTTGTCAAATATCTTGTTTAATTTGTTTGTTACTGGAATATTGGTTTTAATTTAGAGTTTTGGGATGTAAAATAGAATTCGCATAAATTATGAAAACATGTTGGATGTCACACGGTCGGGTTATCTTTTATTTTCGACCGCAGCTCAAACATTTTGTTTCGGAAGTTGATGTTTGCGCAATGGATCGATACATGGCGCAGTTCCATTAATTCCAATCGTGTGCGGTTTTATGACAATTCCTTGAAAGAGAATAGCAAAACATTCCAGTTTCCGCCTAAGGCTGAATCTTTAATATCCGTGGAAAAAGTATCATTCAAGCACAGACGTGTTAAAAGGTAACAAATATATCATCTCAGACCAACGTCATGAATGATAAGATGTAACGTTTAAGGACGTATACTTTTGTAATATTATTGTACAGGTTTTTTTCTATGAAGTGTGTTTTTAAATAAGAACGTTTCAACTAACTTAAAAAAATGAGTATTTATCTTAATTACTCTATATCCTCACGGGGTCGCAATACGGCATGCCAGAGGACAAGACACATGATTTTTTGAA